ACCGGACGGAGCGGCCGCGGCCCGAGCGCAGACGTCAGCACAAGCTGCGCGCCGAGCTCAGCCAGTGCTGCTACAGGGACCCGCAGCGCGGTCTGCAGCTGTTCCTCTGCTCCCAGTTCTCCACCAACGGCACGGCCGCCCAGGTGATCGGCGGGGCCTACTGCTGCAAGCCGTCGCGGGACCAGGCCTACTGCTGCACCAAGCAGGAGTTTATGGAGGGCATCGGCAATGGCAACGAGGCCCAACCGCGCTGTGGCCGCTGGGGCGGCGGCAGGCGGTTTCATCGGCGACATATGGTGTAAGTCTGACATAGACTGCCATTGATTAAGCTCAGGGGTGAAGCCCTCCCCTCCCCCCTCTCTCCTCAACGTTTTTGGAGGCATAGGCCAGATTTCTGTTAAAACGTTGAAAGTTGCTTTTGGGGTTGACTTTTGTTGATTTTGATCAAATATTAAGAGGCAGGCACAAACATGGTAGGCAGAGGAAGGAGACCTGACCCTCTCCATAGATATACAGTGCTCCATCCGTACCTGCGCTAGTGGTTTGCAGCCGGAAAACGACTCATCTTCTTGCCACCTAGACTTTCGTATTGCTCCCACGGTGGCTGGGGGTTGTGAGATGTTAGTGCAGTAGAAACTCAACTCATAAGAGTTCACATAGACCTTCAGGCTTTTAGTTCCTGTTTTCGCTTTGGAGTCGAAGTCCTTTCCGAATGATTTTCAGCACCGGGTGACGACTGTCAGTATTCGACATTACCATCTGTTCACATCCGTAACAGATAGTTGTCGGAGCACGATCTCGTCTCGTTTGCTGCATTCAAGACTCAAATAACGTCAATCCTTATTTGAGTTGTTGCCATTGAGTACTTTGGTCCAATGGTGCACCTCCTGGACACAAGTGCTAATAGACCAGCTCCACTCGTCCTCCCCTGCACCCAGGGGTGGGCGAGTGAGGCTGGAGACCCCTTCCCTCCCCACGCCTCTCCCTCCTAACCCAGAGGCAGCCCACCACCGGTTTGGCGGCTAGGTTCAGCCCCAGATCCTCCAGCATCCATCAGTTCGGACAACACGCACGTGCGTGGTCGCCGCTCGCCGTTACGGAACGGTACACGTCCTCTGGCTTTACAGACCTTCTTGCTCTTTCTTCTTTCTGAAGGACCGTTGGGTCTTCTCGTCGACCTGACGTTTCACCTATTGAAGGTGGTTTCCTACCGTTTGGTACTTTTCACGTATTGCTACATCAGACGCTTAAGATTTGACCAGTGATACCAGGTTTCTCGAGATCTTTCTGAACAGCCCAGAATTTCGGTTTGAAGTAGCCGACCCTGCGGGGGAAATCCCATTTGACTCCATACTCACCACTATGACAGAAATGCATTGTATTCGTCTTGCTTTTCCAACGAGTGTAATCTGTAATATTTGCGACACACTGATGGTTCCAAATGTTTGTGTTACAAATGTTACGAAAGCTTGAAACACTGTTTAGAAGAAAAAAGCGAACGTGAAGCTATTATCCCGCGAATTCAGCGAAACGCTTTACTATCGTTTTAATTTCTCCACAGTGGCTCTTTTCGAGGCTCATTCTGCCTTTGGAAATGGAGCGTCATATGATTCATGTGACACACTGGCTTAAACTTCAACGACCCAGCTTCTCGGTAACAGGCTCTCGCCCGCTGGGCCAATCACAAAAGGCATTTTATTCGCACCAGTAGAAGTGCGCGCGGTAGATGACATGGCGGCAATGGTCGCGACTGCAGGAAAGAAGACGCTTTGCTGTTGCGAAGCGTTGACAGCGCTGTTTGAGCTCGAAATCATAAGACTGACATCCTTACTATGTCTTGACGGTGCTGCGGTTGCGCCACCCAGTGTTACTATTGGGCGTAGCTAGTGCTGACGTTCCGTTAGAGTATGTTTTTGAGATATTCCCGACATGTGGGGTACTCTACTTAATCGCTCGGCTGTAAACCTGCCGAACAGGTCCAGCCTTTGTGCTTTGATGACACCCTGGTCTGCGACGTGAGTTTCGAGAGGGTGCTTGGGGCATCCTGTATAAATGATAAAAGTATCGTGTAATCACAACAATCGCATGCTTCTTTAGAGCCTGAATTAATATATATATATATATATATATATATATATATATATATTTACACATACATTCAGACCTCATTCTAAATAGGTGCTTTCACTAAAAAACAACACAAAGGAAACACACAATTTCAACTAGCTGAGAATAAGGCTCCTGAATCCGTGGGGAGGGGGTATAGTAGCCGGATGTCTAACCTTACCCCGCGACCCCAGCCGCACTGCTTCACATAAAGCACCGGTGCGCTGTTGCTGTGCTGGTGACCAAAGCGTGCGCCCTGTATGACCAGGCAGGCTGACCAGGGTCCAGAGAAAGCTGTCGTTTTAAGAGTTTGCATTTTTCCATACTGTTCCATGTATGCTGTCATTCGCTGTTATTCGGAGCTCATATCAATGTGCTTAAGTCTGTATCATGAGCTTTACACAGTCGCCCCAGCACGATCATTTATTTTGTCTTCTAAGTCCTCGGGACGTTGTTGTGCCACGGGTGATTATTGTTTACGATCCAGCTCTGTTCTAATAAGATGTTGTGGCAAGCGTTACAGATCGTCATGGGTAAGATTTACTTTACCCAATCTACTTGCAACCCATGCTCCTGTGCCCATACCCAAACGCTTTCTATCCAATCCTAAACGAAAAAACCCATCCGTTACACAATTCATTTTTTCAGTTTTTTTCATTATATGGTAAAGAGCAGTTCTAGGCCAGTTAATCTATTCTTTTCGTCGCTTAACGACAAAGAAGCGCAAATAGACGTTGACTTTTACGTAAGCACTGTGTAGCATTTCTTGAAGCACGTACCCGGCATTTTGTAAACGTTTTGCCCGTACCCGTGCCCATATATATATATATATATAGAGAGAGAGAGAGAGAGAGAGAGAGAGAGAGAGAGAGAGAGAGAGAGAGAGAGAGAGAGAGAGAGAGAGAGAGAGAGAGAGAGAGAGAGAGAGAGAGAGTGAGAGAGAGAGAGAGAGAGAGGAGAGAGAGAAGAGAGAGAGAGAGAGGAGAGAGAGAGAGAGAGAGAGAGAGAGAGAGAGAGAGAGAGAGAGATTATATATATATATATATATATATATATATATATATATATATATATATATGTGTATATCTGCATCTTTCACAAAAGCAGTACACAACCCAATTCGTTGCCCGTTCCATTACATTCAATGGGTTTACCCAACTGATGGAGTCTTTTCAGAGGCTTGTCACTTTTGCTGGTGTTTCCAGACCACGAGTGGCACTGACCGTAGGCTCCGTCCTGCTCCTGATCATCATCGCCATCATCATCTACTTCTGTTTGAAGAAGAAGCTGCTGAGCAAGAAGCGAGAGGGCCGGGTACACGGCTGGCTGGTGCCCAACGGTGGGTCACGGTAGCATTCCAGGCGGTGTGCCATTTGCCTACCCGTAAATGCTCACAATTGCGTAGGTTGTTAAGTGCATGTGCGATAAACATTATTCACTTAGATAAGACAGTATTCCTCGGAGAATATATATATATATATATATATATATATATATATATATATATATATGAAGCTTACTTGCGAGGGGGGGTTCATATCAGCATACACCGATTCCCGTATACTTCTTGTTTAACCAGCGATGCGTTTCACAGCTTACAGCTACTGCATTGTCGGGTAAAACCCACGTCGTATGCCCATCATAATGGCTCAACACACGTACACGACAAAAGCGGTGGTAAAATACCACGCATGCGCATGCAATGACACACGACCTGACCCAGCCAGACTGATATATTTTATGTTGTCACGGCTTCTACAGATATGATTTGATGCTGTTTAGCGCTGGACGTTTTTCCAAAATTTATTAAGACTAATAGTTGAAAATCAAGCGCGAAACATGCCTTGCTTAAGATATATGCATTCTCGTGTCGGAGGAGGTCAGGTTTTGCAAAAAAATTTCCCGTCCGCATAAATTTAAGCAGATGCTGCTGAAAACGACAGCGCAAGTCACGATGTGCGGAATCTATATCAGCGTTCCCACGGAACGCACAATAAAACTCGTATACGACAGTCTATCGATAGGATTTTGGTGAAATATTCTCGTCTTCAAAGTAGGAACCTCCTGAGAAGAAGCTCACCAAAAAATCCTAGGTTTTAAACATGGACAGAATTTCGATAGGAGGCTGGTCAGTTGACGTTTTAGGCTTTAAGACTCCGAGCCAAAGAAGGGTGGAGTAAAATCCTTTTTGAATTTCAGAACGTCAATGATCCTAAAAAAGAAAATATTATAAAATCAATGAGCATGGGAGTGAATACATGGATAATCCTCGGGAAAATTCATTGCTACTTGAGGATTGATTAACCCGTAAGGAAATCAGGAGGTTATCCATTTATATGTATTTGGGGGTTTCCCGATTTTCGGCATCCTTCCTTGTCCAGGCCACTTGACGTTCCGAAACTCAAAAGGTGTTTTGTTTGCCGTAGATAAGCTTAAAATGTTAAAGCCTCAAGCGTGAATTGATTTGTCTCCTATCGAAATTCTATCCATTTTTAGATTATAGGATAATTCTGGTGATTTCCTTCTCAGCAGTTTTCTTCTTCAAACATCAGAATCGATGGTCTAAATGCTGCCAATCGACTGTTGTATACGACTATCGTTTTCCCACGTGTGGGGAATCCTACATAGGCTCACACTCACGAACTTGCACAATCACGTTCGGCAGCATAAGCGTAAATATTTCTGGATGCGGCAATTTCTTGCAAAATCAGCCACCTCTCCCATACGAGAAAAGACATTTACATACGGGACTCAAGTTTTGGTTTCCAATTTTAGCATCTTAAGCAGGACATATTTTGCGCCTGATATAAGAATCTTCTAGTCTGTATACATTCACAAAAGACGCTCAACTCTAAAAAAATATGGCTTTATCGTATCCATTAGACATTGTGACACACTTAAATACATCGGCATCTTTGGGGAGCGTCGTGTGCCATTGCATGTACGTGTGTGGCAGTTTAGTTCTGTTTGTGTCGTGAGCTTGTGTTAAACCACCATAGTGTATACTGTACGTATGTGTTCTTTGTCCGATGACGCAACCGTTCTGAGCTGGGAAACGCGCGGCGAGTTACAGGAGTATGAATGTACAATATATATATATATATATATATATATATATATATATATATATATATATATATTACCGTTCTGCAGTGAGAAGTTTCAGCTCCATTTCATCCTGCAACCTCAATCTGGATAAGCAGTACTTTACACTTCCGAACCTAGCTTACTACACTTCAGAAGTTGCACAGTCACGTTCATCCTACATATATATATATATATATATATATATATATATATATATATATATATATATATACTTGAGCCCACTGGGCTACTTGATTAACGATGTCATGTTTGCTGGCTGGGAGAAAACGTGGAACAAAATGTGATTTTGGGGTTCGGAAGGAAAGGTGGAGTAATGTGATGAAAACATTACACATTCGTGCTGGGCTTACGAAAAAAACAACATCCTGTGTACAAAATTTATTACAGAATGCGTTCGCCGTAGGCGGGGTTGTCTCACAACCGTTCCGCACGTGTCGATTATTATGTTTACCACAGGAAGTGGAGAGAACTGTTTGCCCAGGCTGATGAAGGTTCAAATAGAGCTAAAACGTGTCATTGCAGAAAGTTAGCGTTTTCCTTACTGGACAGAGCTGAGTGACTATTGTGTATCCGTCGTGTCTTCCTCTCGCGGGATGTATCCCCACATGATCACGCAGGAGTGCCCGTCAGTCAGTTTCACGAGTATCTGTGCTGTGTCAGGAGGGACCAGGCCGGAGTCGATGCTCCCAGCAGGTGCAGCAGTCACACCCAGCGGCCTCATCACGCCATACCAGCAGACGACCGGTATGTGCAGACATACACGGGCATCACCCCCGCCTGACTGAGCCTGGCGAGCACGGGCCACTCTTCCCAAGCATAGCGAGACGTGCAGAAATTTGCGGCACAAAACACGCGCTTGGTCCGCCCGTGGGCTCATCTTGCAGTTCATTATCAGTTCATGATTAGAACATGGATAATTTTCATGTTCTGTGCTCGCGTGAGCATTTGGTGCCAGCGGCGTAAAATGCGGCGCATGGAGCTGCGGATCGTCACACGCGCTCGTCTGCTCTCACTTAAACGATCGTGACCATAACCGTGACAATGACCTTTTTGGCAGCATTATGAGCTTTATGACCGAATGCCCCAAACCAATGGCCAGTCACAAGCTTTATCACGGATTTGCTGACCTAAATGATGGCACATGTGATCGGGCGCTCGTTACAACGTGGTACCTGGCACCAGGCCGCACTGTTACCGGGACTGGCCTGGTGTAGCCTGTGTGACCGGCGGCGGTGGACGCGTGACCCGTATTTCCTGGTCCTGACCTGTCCCGGCCCGCGATTTTGGCCGATTTCAGCTGGCTGATGCTGACAGCTGAGATTTATTGCTAGCTGACGACGAGAGTTATCGTCACCGGAGGCCGACCGGGGGCAAAGCAAAGTTAGCTTCTTTGTTGGCTTGATGTCTTCATGCATTTGTGCCTTATGCCCATGCCCACTGAATATGGGCTTTGGTCACAGATGTTAAAACCGACGCAGGCCTTGCTGAACTTTTTCGGGAAGACCCGGAGACTCCCGTGGTAGAATTCCGCACACAAAAGCACAGTTTTCAGTAGAAAATCTGAGCCCTAGAGGGCAAACTGCGGAAAGCGTTGCTTCGAAGCTCGAATCAGGTACACTAATTGTACATGAATGTGTTCAGAGAAATTTCTACCTGGCAGGCGGCGCAATCGCGTTCGTGCATGGTAGTCCATTCACCGACGTTTCATGTTGATCGGCTCGCTATTCGGGGCAAATGAGGGCCTTGAAAGCCGCGGGAAGCCCATTCAAACAACGGTCTCAGGGTCAGGGTGTAGTCGTGTTGACGAGGCAAGGCCATACCAGACCACACCAGAAGCCCGGTCTGTCTGGTGGGTCCGGAGCTGGTGTGCCATCCGCCACCATACCAGAGGCCCGATCTGTCTGGTGGGTCCTCAGCTGGTGCGCCATATCAGAGGCCCAGTCTGTCTCGTGGGTCCGCGGCCGGTGCGCTATACCAGGGGCCCGGTCTGTCCCGTGGGTCGGCAGCCGGTGTGCTATACCAGGGGCCCGGTCTGTTTCGCGGGTCAACAGCCGGTGTGCTATACCAGAGGCCCGATCTGTCTGGCGGGTACGCAGCCGGTGCGCTATACCACAGGGCTGGTTGGTCTCGTGGGTCAGCAGCAGGTGCGCCATACCAGGGGTCCGGTCTGTCCCGCGGGTCAGCAGCCGGTGCGCCATACCAGGGGTCCGGTCTGTCCCGCGGGTCAGCAGCCGGTGCGCCATACCAGGGGCCCGATCTGTCTCGTGGGTCAGCAGCCGGTGTGCTAAAGCAGGGGCCCGGCCTGTCTCGTGGGTCAGCAGCCGGTGTGCTACACCAGGGGCCCGGTCTGTTTCGCGTGTCAACAGCCGGTGCGCTATACCAGGGGCCTGGTCTGTCTCGTGGGTCAGCAGCCGGTGTGCTACACCAGGGGCCCGATCTGTTTCGTGTGTCAACAGCCGGTGCGCTACACCACGGGGCCTGTTTGTCTCGTGGGTCCACAGCAGGTGCGCCATCCGTCACCAGCGTATGAATGAACCATTAGTGCGGCGCGCCATCGCCGCTCTGCTGTGACAATGGCTCAGTGACTGACTGCTGATGACAGCGGGCTAGCCAGCGGGCGCGTGGCCCGACTGTTACTGGCAGTGCCCTAGAACCAAAACCAGCGCGACTTCTCAAAGGAACGGGTGTGAGTCCATCTTCCCTGGCCGGTAAAGAATGAGTGGAGTCGTTATCAATGGGGCAACCATGAAAGGAACTGTTTAAATGAGCTTTTACGCCTTGAAAGGCGCTTTTTATATGACGGTAGAGTAAGATGTACGAATTGGGATTCTTCTTCGTGAGAGTGCCCCTGTTCACGTCATTTCTGGCCCACTTTCGCATGACCGAAGAACATCTCATTTACGTTTTGTCAGTGACAAACTGTGTCTCACTGTTATGAGCTGCTTCGTCTCTACTCGTCTTCAGCAGTAGAAAGCCCCTATTACGCAATCGATTGTTATTTCAGCCGCCTGATTCGGAGGTGAAAGGCTGTCTGTTGATCGAAGCATTGCGCAGGATCATCACATTGCTCATTTTCCTACCGACTGGTCGACAATGATCACGGGTTGTAGTTTTGGCAGTCGTCCAAGCGTGCATTAACTAATGACGTTTTTTGACCTTCGCATGCTGCGTTGGGCTTCATGGTTGGTTCAAACATTGGACGTTGGAATGTCAAGCTTAACTATGCAGGACCCTGAGGACGAACACGAGGACTAGCATCGCACCGTCGCATTCGCCCACGTGGCATGCTGCCACTGTGTTTGCAGAAGTGTTCTATCTGCCGCACTGGACATAGCCCGTGTACACACGCGACCTGCCATTGCAGGGGTGTCCATCCCAATGGCGATGGCGCCCCTGATGACACTGGCGACAGTGGGCGACGGTGTCATCAATGCCGCCCGCGCAACGCGCCCTCACCATCCTTGCAGGGGTGTCCAAGCTAACAGCCGACCGTCGCCTGCCTGATACGCTACCACCGTGGTTGCAGGGGTGTACAGCCTGCCGGCCAGCAACCACCCGGTGCAGTACATTGGCGGATCTCAGTGTCCGCTGCGCGAGTACGGCCCGCTGCAGCCGGCCTACCCGGGCCGCCAGTTCGGCAACGTGCCGCCGGCCGCCCTGCCCGGGGTCACGGAGGTCAGGTGAAGCCCGGCCCGGGGGCGCCGCCGTCAGCTGCAGACGGCCGCGACTCGGCCACAGCTCTTCCTATGAGCGGAGCTCGGCCGAGTTTGTCGTTTTCGAGTGCCTTAAACACATGCCTTTGTCTTGCCAACAGCAGCGGACTCGGCGCTGTTTCGTGCGTGGCCTGTACGGTCCGCCAGAGCCTAGCTGGATGGATGGCAGGCAGCCGGGAAGTGCCGGATCCCGGGCCCTCCCACACAGTTGATACGTTACGACGATGCGTCGATACAGGATATACGTACTTGTCAATCTCTATATTGCACCTGCAGTATTTACCACCTACTGTAAATGCACGGGCGGCCGCAAGAAATGTGTTGTTTCAGTCGGGTTTTATATATTGTGTTTGGGGAGCGTCGCGCGAAAACAGCTGGAAGAGGTGCAGGACTGATGAAGAAGCAATACTCAAATATATTTTGAAGGAATGTGTAACTCCTGAGCTCGCTTTTGACATATCTGTGATGCTTAAGTGCTCTTCGCTATCTAATAAATAACATTTTCGTAGAATCGTGTTTCAAATATCATGGCAAGTACTCACGCCTACACTCGATGGGGACTGTCACTGATGTGATATGTCGCAGGTAAGCTAGGTGCAAGGAGTCTTGCTTACTATTGCACGTGTGCCATCACATCCGAGCAGCATCGTCGTACTGCTAGGAAAGATGCTACACGTGTCTTCATGATCAAAATGCGTCACATGTCTTCAAAGTCAAAACTAGTGCATCGCAAAAATGCATCGCAAATATTGTGCGTTAACATGCGCTCGGGTGGGGGTCACATTAACCCCGCCGAAGGTTTTTCCAAAATGGTTTCCGAACGGCGCGGCATAGCCGAGCCAAATTTTGATAGCTGTAGACAATTGAATAGCGGATCGTGTGAAATCAAAAATTTAGACGTACCCCGTAAGGTCGCTGACCTATGGCAGGTTAAAATCAGGCCATGGTCTCAGCGAAGGCAATTTATAGGGAATCCTTCAATCTAATCCAACAACGGAATGTTAGATGAAGCCATACATATATGAGATGCTTTGTTAGGCAACACAGCAGTTGAATGAGCGAATTACACTGACCTAAGGTTAGGTATGAAGGTCACACCAAGGTCAAAATCAAGCTGTTTTATTACCCTAGGGTTTGCTGTATGGGAGAGTTTCTGATGCTCATTTCGAATTTATTGATAGCAGGAATCGCATTGTACATCTTCCATGGACTTCTTAGAGGTCAGGAGAGGTTGTTGACCAAAAATGACCTAGGTCAACACTCTGTTTTAGAAACAAGCTGCCTAGCGTAATATTTGTCGCTTAGTCAAATACAAAACTCAAAGCAATCTTGTATGAGTTCAGTCGCCTTGATCTTCAAAGGTTAAACGAGGCCAATGACCTTAAATACGAAGGTGACCTTTTGCTTAGAAACGGTTATCTATGTTCTGGGGACACTTTGGAGACCAACCTGTAGCCTAACATTGTTTGACCTTTTTTTACTCGAAGGTCATAACTTAGGAACCTGAAACTTTAACCTAGGTGATTTTGCGTACAGGCAAACACACCCTGTAAATTTTGTGTCTCTAGCTTTCTTAGTTACCGAGACCTCAGGGGGCTCAAATTGCCCCCCCCCCCCCGCCCGAGCGAAGGGTATCTAGCCGGCCACCCGGGCGCGTGGTAAACTTCTTGACTTTCATTGGAAGGCCAGACATGCACTAAAAGTTTACTTTGTTACGAAATATTCTTACCGAAATATAAAACATTAAATGGATTATTCCACATTATATGGTGTCTATTCCACATTATACTCCACACTATATTCCATATTCCACACCAATATGGTGGGACCCCTGAACGATCGGAAGCGCCCCGGCAGGCTAACATATAGGACCCGGTCGGAGTACAGGGTCCCTGAACAAAGGGCAATAACCGAAGATCAGTATACATGAATTAACACTCCTGTGTAATCAAGAGTGCCCGGGCAGGTTAGCAGGGAGTGCTCTGACAAGTGAAGGGTCCTCAGCAAATAAATAAAAGGGAAAGAGCCATAGGTCGATGAAGAGGGACCCTGAGCATCGAGTGCCTCGAAGCGTTACCTTATATGGGGCCCCCGCAACAGCACGGGGTACTCCAAGCAAGTGGAAAGTACCCGACATGAAAAACCCTGAGAAAAAAAGAAAGAAAAAAGAAAGCCCCTGAGCAACCGAGTATACCCCGACATTTGGGGTCCCGGCAGCAGCGGCGGGGCGGGGGAGACCGCTTATCCCGCAGGCGCAGCGGTCTCCGCCGAGCCCGCGCCGCCCGCCGTGCCTCCGGCCGCGCCGCTGCCCGGCGCGTCTGCGCCCAGTCCGCCGGTGAGCCCCGGGGCCGCGGCGACGCCCAGACCGGACACGGCCGCCAGGTGTCCAGGTTATTTATAGTAACCATGCTTGACTGTATGCATCACATGATCATCAGTGGAATGCCACGTTGACTGTGCCATCTGTTGATAAAAGAGGGGAATAGGGGCAGGACTCAAAGATGCCTGCATAGTGTTATCTAGCGGTAGGAATCCAAACTAGCCTGGTTGCCGTGGATACTGGACGTTTTGAACACTGGACTTCACGACTCTGGACTTTGCGACTCTGGACTTTGCGTCCCTGGACCTTATGAACGTCCCCCATGGGCACGGAATCGAACGTTTTCTGGACTTCATGAACACTGGGCGCTGCAATCCTGGACGATATGAACACTGGACGCTGTGATCCTGGAGTTAATGATGGCTCCCCATTCATCGTTTCGATCACTCTATTCAATACTAATGAAACCCCATACTTTTTGCGGGAAAGACGTTCCATTAGTAGAACACTAAGGACACATTACTGTTCCCGGTCAAGGGCTGAATGGCCATTTTGTCCCATCGATGAGTGTCTTCTGGCTGCCATTCTGGCGGCACGGAGGCAGCATCCCCTAGTAAATCCAGAGGCCCTTAGAGGGATACATCATATCACATTGGCCTTCTCCCTGACGCGGAAAGCCTTCGGATTCGCGCAGTTGGCCCCGGATCGACGCAGGAAGCCTCATTGAGGCAACAAGATCTTTGATCGCCGCAGGTGATCAAATAATGGGCACGTAGACTCCAGTTCGGTTTAACGGGCCACGCTGGAATCGTGATGGAGGGCCAAACGTTCCGTACTTCCGTACGTACGAGACCTCGACCAGTGTAAACCACGCGCCCGGCCTTGTCCCTGCTTGAGAAATGGGCCCCTAGAGCTAAAAACAGCGCGGAGCTGAATGTTCGGTCTTGCCGATCTCTGGCCGAAAAAGAGGAACGCGCTGTCTCAATGGTCCCCAATCGGTGCAAGAGGCCCTCTAGCTTTAAACTCGACGGGAGATGACATTGCGGTGCTGGTAGTGTTCGCTGAGCCAAATATTGTTGTGTGCTCGCGGTTTGGTCCTTTCTTGTGGGGTTCTTGCGTGCTTATCCGTGATTTTTGAGAAGTATATTTGCGTTCACACTCACCCACGCTCGATTCATTCGGCCAGAGTTTTCAGTAGATATGGTAGCAGAACTGGATAATAATTTACCAGCATTTTATTGCGACGTACTAGGCTGTCCAAGGCAAAACTGGAGGGTCTGTCCTCAACATTGGAGACAGGGGAACACCGAATTCATCCGAGGTGGTAGGTGTATAGTCGTGGTTGTGATATTTTGCAAAGAAGAGGCCTTGCGGTAGCGCTTGCCTTGTTTTGATATCAACAATCACTCCCGTCGGCGATTAGCGTGCTGAGGTGATTTGATTACGTAATGCGCATCTCCTTGGTGCCCTTCAGTGATATTTCAGTTAGTGGAAGAACTTGAGTGTGTAGAGGTGGCACTAGGGTAGCTGTCTTGGTTACCTGTTAGGCAACTCCTGTATACATGACACAATCTAATGGCTGCAGAATGCACTGGATTGACAAACATGAGATCCATGTCTCTTGTCACCAGAATTCATTATGATTCTAAGAATGCATTAGAACTCAGATGAGGATGTTTCTGCAGTAAAATTTTGTATGTCTCATCACTATTATGGTGAGATACTTGTGCCAGATGCTTGCAAATTATAGTTGCTGGTAATGGAACTGCTGTTGTTGTTTGGGTGGTGTTAAGGGAATAATGGGCTGAGTTAAATGCTGATAAAATATTAATTGATCTCTTTGCCCACAAATGTGGCCAGCTGGAGCATTATCAAATGTAGAATTATGGAAGCATAAAAGTGATATGCTAAATGAAGTTAAATGGTTTTCTTGCAAAGATTGTTCTCATAGTCAATGAGAGGCAAGGGCATGCAGTGAGCATAATATTGTTCAGCATTAAACTGGCACTGATGGTCGGTCGACAATGTTTTGAATAGCAAATATAATAGTTATGAAGTAATATTTGGGAAATAATAAGCTCCATTCATGAAGAGTAAAATTAAATTGTGCTGCATGCATGGCAGATTGAATTGATTGGTTTGAATTTTGTCATGCATTGTAATGTAGCAGCTGGACCAGCTGAGGTGCATACCTTAAGGGTATGTGTGAGTGACAATGAATGAAGAAGCTGTTAAGTATTGTGAATTCTGGTATACAGGCACTCAAACTGTTACCTTGTGCCTATGGGCATAAGGCACATAGTGCCTACTGAACTCTTAGGTTATGCATCAAGTTTGCCATCATGTGTGCGGTATGATCATGCAGTTGAGGTGCGGAAATACCCCAAGAGCCATTTATAAGTTGAATATGGGGCCTTTCATAGTATAGCCTGATTAAATTATGTCCACTGTTGTGATTTCCTGTGTACACATTTTCTCTGCACACTAAACATCTGTAAAGTTTTGGTCTCATCACTGGGCCTAATGGAAAGTGTGTAACACCTAGTAGTGCTTCTATTGTGGCAATGTTTTATTCCATAGCAGCAAACCTGAAGAGAAGGTGCTTTTGCTGCGGTATTTCAGGTGTCTAGCAGTTTTGCAGTGCAATCTGTGTTTCAGATGAGAATTATCAGTGCATTATCAGAAACATCTTTAATCATTGTGTTACACCTAGTCGTACTGTTGTGAATGCATAGTGTCAGAGTTTTCCTGCCCTGGCAAATGTGAACAGTTCATCTGTTCAGAGGAAATGGTACTCATCACCTCAGATGTCAGATAGCTCAGCATCTGAGTATGCCTTCCTAAGTGACATGGATGCTCACTACAAGTGTGGACAGGAAAAGATAGTCAATTGTACAGTGAGACATGATTGGAAATGGGAGTACCAGATTTAATTTGTGCCACACAGCAAGTAATTAGTAGTTGCATGTGCATCCCAACTGCAAAGTCTGCAGGGCATAGCTTCCTTTCCTTCCACCCTATATATTGAGGGAGGGTCTCCGCTTTGTCTCAGAGACCCACAACACTGTTTATCACCGCACCCCTGGCTGATAGCAGGATCCTTTTGGTTCCTCCAGGGCTCATAGGCTATGATAGGGAGGTCATTTGGCTGGTACTGTGGGACCCCAACTTGTCCATTTTCCACATATGGGGCTCTGCATGGAAGGGGACAATGTCCAGAGCTGGGGCCCCTAACCAGGGGGCATGTCATTGTCTCAGGGTTTTCCTAGTGGTTCAGGAGCAGTCCCTTTGACTGAACTCTGAGGGCTGTGGCTCTGCCCTTTTTTGGCTGATGAGGGGGTCCTTGCCAGCATGGAGCCCCTGTTCAGTGTTGTGTATCTGTGGAGCACCTCTTCAATGCTGTGGGTCCCCTATTCAATATTGGAGATCAGTGGCAACTGAACAGGTCACCTATTCAGTCTCCTGCTCAGTGCCAGGGCTCCTTGGCCAATAGAGTGACCCCCCAGTGAAGTAGAGGCTCCTGAGCGATGCTGGAGGATGCTCTCTGATATCCTTGGTTGTTGGCACTTATCCTGTTCAGATATGGGTAGATGCCCATAACCGGGCCCCTGTTAATTATCAGGGTCACCTTTACAACGCGGGGACCTCTGACCGATCCCAAACCCTGGTTGGTCCTTCGAGCCTTTTGATCCTGAAGGGCTGGCTGAGGGCCCGATCTACGAGAGAATGTATAGTCTCCGAGCTCCCTTGTGCCTGTCCCTGGCTGGGATAATGCCACCCGATTCACCAGCCCATGGGATGCTGTCATACGCCGCCTACGCTATCCGAATGGCATGTGTTAACATTCAAAACTATGCATTCAAACTACACACAGTATTGTGAGCAGGAAACCTTTTAGAAATTTAAGCAATTTATGTAACAATTGATTGCAGGTACTGCGCGTGCAGGGGCGCTGCTCGTTGGCACATATGGAGACATGTATAATTTATAGGCATGTTTATAGTCATAGGTACACCACAGACCAATGGTACATCGTTGTCCATAACAATATCTTCTCCAGGAATGTCGGAAGTGTGGGAAAAACGGGCATTGACATTCTTTGTAAGAAGTAGTGTCGCGTGGACTTTCCTGCGCTAGAAGTCTGCCGCATTAACGTTTATGCGTTGTGAATTCTTGAATTGCAAGTAATGTTACATATAGGTTGCATGTTAGAAGTAATGTCGCGTAGATGCAATGTCGTGCATAAGCTTTACACTCGAATATAGTCGCATGGAATTGTATGCGTTAGAAGTTTTTGCATGAGACACTATATTGTGCATAAGCTTTTGTATCGGATACTTTGGCGTGTGGAAGGAATTTAGGGTAGATGTTTTATGTTAGACGCTTTGTCACGTAGAACTTTATGCGTTAGAATTTGTTGCATAGAAGAAATGTTGCGAAGTTCTTGTGTGCAGGTTTTGTCGTGTAGAAGTTTATGCGCTAGGAGTTCGTGCGGTAGAAGTCACTTCGCTGAAAGTTTTGTTGGGAGGATTTTCGTGCGGAAGCATTGTCATGTACAAGTCCCTGTGTTAGCACTTTTGTCGCATACGAGTTTGTGCGTTAGAAGTTCGTGCGTTAGAAGTAATGCGACGTAGAAGTCTTGTCACGTAGAAGTAATGTCGCGTAGGGGTTTATGCATGCGAACTTCGTACATTAGGAGCGACAGCGCGAAGCGGTCGTGCCATGGAAGTTCTGTGTTTGGTAGTATTTATGTTAGAAACATCGTCTGCCCCCCCCCCCCTAATTGCCTGAGTTATGCACCACAAAACGTGGTTCGTGTTCGCGACCTGGAGTTAAGGCGTTAAGGTGGTCGAAAGCCAATTGCTGTTTGTGGATGCGGTGATTCGTGCTGATACGCTCCAAACTCGGATGAGTCAATCGTCATATTCGTCTTAACCGTGAACACAGTTTGACCATTGAGGATGTGACATTGGTCTGATATCTGTATGACATCATGCATCCTGGGGTGACTTTAAAATAGGCGGCAAGAAATAGTCTGCGCAAGTTTGTGGGCGCCTTACTTAGACGCCATAGGATTGGAAACTTGGAGAGCATAACTGAGAACTGCAGAGACTGATGTTGAAAATGGCTGCCACAGTTCAAAACCCCATTCAAATGCGCAACAGTCATTCAGATGTGCCATGAACAAATTCTGCTCAAGGTGCTTATTCAACTTGGATGCGAGACATCATTCAGTATGCGGATAAAACAAGGCCTTGCATGTAGCGCTACATTGTAGGGGTTGATGCCGAAACAAAAACCGACGCAGGTGCGATAACGAGGCAGACCGTGTGGCTGGCCACTGGCTGATGGGGTAACGAGACAGACCGGGTGACTGGCCACTGGCTGATGGGGTAGCAAGACAGACCGTGTGACGGGGCTTGTTACGAACGTACACCAACTACGTGACTTGATCACCGTGACACAAAGATCGCATATCATGCCTTGTTACTTTTGTGTGAAACAATGCGTGACGCTTAGTACTATTTGTCCTCAGACTTTTTCCGGGAAAGCAAGGAGCAACAAGCTTTGTTGATTGACTTTCGACCTGTCAGCCACGATGGCTCTGTCTGGTAAGCGGCGCCCGGTGTATGTAACTGGGGCGTGCTAGATATATGTGAGATTTGTATCAGTCACTGCTTTATGTTTGTGAAACATTTAAAGTTGATAGTGCTGCTCTCACATGCTTCATGCCCGGTATCAACTACTGTTTCCCGTGAATTTTGAAAATGATGCCGAATTATACTTACCCTTTTGCTGATGTTGAATGCTTTACGTTTTCAATTGTGAGGCCGCTTTACTTTTTGAATCAATATTCTGGCCTTACATGGTTGCAACTTGAACGTACTATGTTTGGAAAAATGCGAGGAAAAAGGAAAAGTCGCTACTCTCATGTGTTCGAATTTGCGTAGGCAGAACGAGTCAAGTGTTAAGCAATCGTTGGCTGGTTGGGCAAGAAAAGTTGTATTGCTTGAGCCTTCCGCAAGAGCCGTTTGTGCAGACATGCCGTGTTTGGACTCTGTGTTTTGGTGTTGACCACGTGCTGGGGTTGCGCTGGCAGTTCTGCGTGGTCTGGCCTGCCCGCGTGCCCTGCCGGCCCTGATCCGGCCCCTGGCCGCTCCCGCCCTCCAGCCGACCTTGCAGCAGAGAGGGGCCGCCAGCGAAGTCGGTGAGCCACGTCCAGGGACAACAAATCATCATTGCATTTATGGTTATCCAAGTAGCCACGTGTTCAAGGAAAATATTCGTTTATCAATTGGCTGCCTGCGATGTGTCTGAACTCTGGTGACGCCGAACTGTTGTCAGCTGGCCGTTGTTGGCGCCGTTCGGCCGGTAACAGTACGGCGGCGCTTTGCAGCGGCGCCCGCCAAGCACAAGCCGTACTCGCCGTTCCAGAACCTCAATAATAAGGCCGAGTACGCCGTGGCACGGCTGGACGACCTGCTCAACTGGGGACGGAAGGTGGGAGAGGCCGGGGTGACGGCTCACGGAGCCGGGAGCCGTCGGAGGCAGGGTCGCACCGCCTGCTCCGTGGGGCGGTGACGCGGCACGGCACTGAGCAGGCCTCCATGCTGTCATAGCTGGACGCATCAAAAGCTGCGAGGTCTGATAGAAGACTTGAAAGGTGGATCACCGTGGTGTACCAGCATCGTGGCGTGATATTGCCACATGCCGCAGCGAGTCGACGCAGTGAATCGGTTGTAAAGCTAAATAGTTCTGTGGCTCTGCATTTGAGGGGGCTAGAAAGCGTTGTTCTGGAACCCTAGCTTTCTTTACGTTCGTGAAATATTAAATTGAAAGACTTTTTTGGTGGCCTGAGTTTTGTAACACGCGCTGAGCTGTGTGATTAGCTGGAGGCTTCTGTCGTTTGTGCGGTGCGAACATTGAGGTTAAGTAGTATGCAGACACAGCGACATCCGCGTGTGTTAAGTTTGATTAGTATGCAAATCTTGCAGTAATACTGAATTGTGGCTGATATTCTCCTCCAACATATTAATTTTGAAAACGTGCTGCTGTCTTCGTCTGCGGTACTTGCTATAACCGGGGATATCATGAGCGATTTGATGCAGCCGACAACTGTTCACGTGCCACGCGTGGGTCGCAGTGCCAACGTACAGTGGCCAGGTCTCCACGCCAGCTGGCACCGTCCCCTCGGCCGCGTGTCGACAGGGCTCCCTCTGGCCGCTGACGTTCGGCCTGGCCTGCTGCGCCGTGGAGATGATGCACATCGCGGCGCCGCGCTACGACATGGACCGGTACGGCGTGGTGTTCCGCGCCTCGCCGCGCCAGGCCGACGTCATCATCGTCTCCGGCACGCTCACCAACAAAATGGCGCCCGCCTTTAGGAAGATCTATGATCAGGTCAGGTCACGTTTGGAGGTCTTCATAGCTGTGCATGGGGTTACCCGATGTCGTGTGCAAGGATTTGGAAAAGCTGCGTGCGTGCTGTGATGTGACCCTTGATGCCTTAGGCCACTCGTTCCGTCACCTGCCTGAACTCCCTGTGTATGCTCGCTGTCCCTCCCGCAATGGCTTCGTCGGCCGTCCCGCTTCTTCATGTCGTTGACTTCTTCGGTGGTGATATCACGCCGGATAAGTGTCACGGAGAGTTGAAGCGACGATGGGCGATGCATTCTGTGTTGAGCGCTCAGACTGTGGCCCTGTCGGTTTAGAATCTGGAAGTCAATCTGAGTAGGTGTGCTGTGTTGAGCGCTCAGACTGTGACCCTGTCGGTTTAGAATCTGGGAGTCAGTCCGGGTAAGTGAGCTGTAATGGAGCGCTCAGACTGTGACCCTGTCGGTTTATAATCTGGGAGTCAGTCTGAGTAGGTGTGCTGTAATGGAGCGCTCAGACTGTGACCCCGTCGGTTCAGAATCCGGGGGTCAGTCTGGGTGGGTGTGCTGTAATGGAGTGCTCAGACTGTGACCCCGTCGGTTCAGAATCTGAGAGTCAGTCCGGGTGGTTGTGCTGTAATGAAGCGCTCAGACTGTGACCCTGTCGGCTCAGATTCCCAATTCAGTCCTGGTAAGTGTGCCGTAATGGAGCGCTCAGACTGTGACCCTGTCGCGACAGATGCCGGAGCCACGCTGGGTCATCTCGATGGGCAGTTGCGCGAACGGCGGCGGCTACTACCACTACTCGTACGCTGTGGTGCGCGGCTGTGACCGTATCGTGCCGGTCGACATCTACGTGCCAGGTGAGCGGACGTCACAGCCACGGAGGCCCGCCGCCCCTGCCGTGACGGCCGGCTCACATTCGCCGTCGCCGGCTGACATTCGCGTATTCTTCACTGGCCATCGCGCTCTGTGCCGCCTCTGTGATCAGTGCAGCCGAAGCGAGGGACGACGGCGATCACGATGTGAATGTGCAGCTGGAACGGAGTCTCTCTTTCCAGGATGCCCACCCACCGCGGAGGCGCTGATGTACGGTATCCTGCAGCTTCAGAAGAAGGTGAAGAGGATGAAGACGGTGCAGATGTGGTACCGGAAGTAGGTGATGCAGTCCTTGGTCTGAACTATAGGCAATGATGTAAATAATATGCAGGCGGTGGTTGTCCGCCGTTGTGAGCAGACCGGATCGTCGTCACGTCGAATGTTGCGTGACGGGCCCTCTCGCTCTGCGGGTAACTGGCTGGACAGCGTGACAAGCTGATGCTCGACAAGGGACTGCGAAGTGTGACTTGTCGGGAATGCAATACACTTCCCAACAACAGACCGCCGCTCTGAGACCCTGAAGGAGAGCTCGAGCCTTGATCACGAAAGCGTGATCCGTCTTCACGCGCAGGTCACACGCCGGAGTGCGCACTCGGGAAACTGAAGCCTCATAGAACACCTGGAACCTAATCATCACGTGTTGGAACACGGTCTTGCGTGTACTCATGCTGTACTCATTAGTGTGTTATATGCAGATGCGGTCATTCAGACGTGAACCAACACCCCTAACAAATGTGCTGTCGGGTTTTAATTGGTAGTTGCAGTGTTTGCCAGCAACATTCAGAAGGATAAGAATATTTTTTTTTAGAAATTATTAATATAAATATTTATATTAATATAAATAAAAAGACATTAAGAAGAAACACGCCTGTTGCGTGCTATGTTCACCAGCGATACTCAGAAGGATTCAAAGAAATGCTAGTCTATTGCATATCGATGCTGGTTAGCATTCCCTTTACGCACTAACCACAATCCTTGGCAAAATCACGAGGTGGCCCGCTCATTTGGAGACACCTTTTAACATGCCTGTAGAGAATGAAGCTAACTGATTATGGTGTGACAACTCACATAATCGGGAATCTTACTTGAGTTCGTGGCTTCCGCCTACCAAAAGTGATGTTGCCCGAGCAAAAGCGTAAAATTATACCGCAGGCTAGTGTTTGCCGTGACAATATATGTCACAGTTACCTTGAGGTCCGTTGTTCATATGCGAACGTCTTGCCGGTTCTGCGACAAAATGTCTAAAGACAATAAGTCACGTGGCAAATGGCAAGGCAAAATTCAAGTGGCTAGAAGTCGAATGGGATGAAAGTCAAATACAAGAAATCAAAAAGGTGAGAAGTGAGGAGGACAAAAAGTCACGGCGGAAAGCCAAAATGATCCGAGTCTAAAGCAAAACGTCAAGCAGGCTAAAAGGCAGATAGTTTTAAAAGCGAAAAGCGATAGATGTCAAATGGATAGATACCAAAAAAGCGGAAAGCGTCAAAGTCAAAAGGATAAGATCAGGGGCAGATCCAGAGGGGGCACGGGGTCATGCTCCCCTTGGGCCCGAAGTGGCCTATATGCTTCGAGGGGGCCCCATAGCCGGCCAAACAAATTCGGTTAAAAAACAGAACGTAATAAAATTGGACGTCTTTGAGTTTCTAGGCGATCAATAGCAGTCGCAAGCAAAAATGAAGGGCCCGTGATGAGACAAAATTATTTTTCACCGATTGAGAGGGTGATGATAAGTAGCCCTTAAGACCGCTTACGCTGCTCAGAGGCACTACGCTGTCTCCGGGTGTCCTATATATCCACTTGCGCGGTCAACCTGATCGCTAAGGAGTCTTTGATTTCTTTGTATTTGCTCAGAGGGCCCTGCGCTGTTGGTGGGGCCCTCACCGCTAAAGTGCTGGGTACTCTGCTGGGTACTCTGGGTCAGCCATGAGCCTTGCACGGATTTTTTTCCAGTCGCCCCAAACGCTCTATACGCTAGAACCAGTGGGCCCCATATGTTGACATGCCGGGGTATTCTCGATTGCTCAGGAGTCCTTCACGTTGGTCACGGTAAACTACTGGCACACTCACAAAGGGCTCATGGCCTTCTACACTGGTCTAGGACCCTTCCAACTTATTGTCACTTGCTTAGGGCCCTAAGCTCTTGTCTGAGGCCCTGTTAACCGACTTGGGCTCACGCGGTCTTACGGGGCCTCTAAGGGTCTTGTGTGCTTCCTATTTGAAAAGAGGGCCCTGCGCTCTTGTCGGGACCCCATCTGATAACCTACTCGGGTACACTCGGTCATACATGGGCCCTCCATATTGTATCTTTGGTACTTCTTAGTTGAATGGATGGCCTCATGTCCTTGTCGGTGTCCCATCTATAAAACTGCTCGGGCCAATGGCGGATCCAGAGGGGAGACATGGAACCGTGCTCCCTTGTATCCAGAGGGACCCACAGGCTGTAAAGGGGCCCACGACCAGGCGAACGGACGCCGTTTTCAAACACGAAACAACAAAATTGAACGTTTTTGGGCCTTCTGACGACCAAGAACAGCCACAAGCGAAAGTGAAGCCCATGAGCAGACAAACTCATTACGCTATCCAGAGACGTCAAGGTGTTGCCGGGGCCCTTGACGTCTATTTGCCGGGTCAATCCGATCGCTGAGGAGCCTTCCACGTCGCCCTTGATCTCCTTTCATTTTCTCGTAGCGTCATACGCTGCTGTTGGGTCCTGTGTGCTAACATGCCTGGGCACTCTTGATCGATCAGGTGCCCTCTTCATATTCTTCCCACTGGCCCGAAAGGCCCTGTACGGATTTGTTGGGGCCCTTTATGCCAGGATATACTCAGTTACTCAGAGCCCTTCAAATTAGTCTCGAGTTCTTTCCACTTGCCCAGGGGGCCTTGTGCTGTTGCTGGGGCCAGTACAAAGTAAGTCACTGAGCCACTCGATGCTCAGGGTCCTCTGCAATGACCTAGGGCCCTTTCCCTTTGATCTCGTTTGCAGAGGACCTTTCCGTCCCATCCGTTGACCCACCCGTTAACCCCACCTAATCCCCTTCCGTTTACCTGCCCGTGCACTCCTGAGCGCACAGGGTACTAATTCACGCACACTGGTCTCGGGGGCGCGCACGCGCACTGGCCCCTTTGTGCGAAGGGCCATATGCTTATTACCGGGGTCCTATATGTTAGCCTGCCGGGGCGATCCCGATCGTTCAGGGCCTATCACGTTGGTCTTGGGCTCTCGGTTGCTCTGAGGACCCCATACTAATTGACGGAAGCCGCTTTGTTGGCCTGCCGCGGCACCCATGATCACTCAGGTTTCGTCGCTGTTGGCCTTGGTGCGGTAGCCTTAGAGAAACCATGAGATATGCGCAGATAAATTTTTATGTGCAATTGTCGAACATAATTTATGCGCCGCCTGACGTCGTATGTGATATTTCGGTTGTTTATTGGATTTGTAACACCTATTATACTTGTGCATCACATACGACATCGGCGCTTTAATTTCATTTCATTTTTGCATGCAATTGCAATTGCAAGTATACAATCATTTCAGTTCATGCATTTTAATGCCAGATATTTTGTATTCCTCCACGGCAAACGAAGCAAAAACTCTGCATTAGTTATCAGCCATCATCTGATGGCATCGACTTGCCGGCTAGCTGTAATATGCCAGAAATCAAGTTCGTGCTTGATCTTGATGTTATAAAGCAGCCGACTTTAGCTTGTGTTGCCAAGTTTTTCCGAAAAACCGAGCCTCAAAATGGCAGGATCTACCATGAACGGGGAAAAATGAATGAGCTCCATGTATGTGCATACGTAGCACGCCAAGTTTTCTAAGCACGCGCAGTCAGATGGGCTTCCGTATAAAAATAATGTACTGAGAATCTTTAAATTTGATGGCCGGACTTCATTTTTTTTGGGGGGGGGGCAAGCTCTATGGGGCCCCACAATGTTACGTGCCCCCCCCCCCCCTTGACGAAATCCTGGATCCGCCCCTGATCAAGATGAATGCGAAGCGTCAAATAAGCAAAACGTCCGAGGCAATGGACGTTAAATGGTGTCAATCACAAAAGCCACACATGGTGTAAATCAAAACACGCCTGTTCAGGCTAGGAGTCTGTCTTTCATAGGTTTTACGAATTCACTATGGGTCCTTGGTCAGTTGCTCGTTCAGCTATAAATATTTTCATCCACCGCCGTGCGTCGCTCGCGTAGCTGCTCTGCGGTTGCATCGTGCGAGCCGTCGGAATAGTAGGCGGGCGCGTCCTCTGTGTATGATACAGGCCTGGCTGTGCACACGGCACCAATGACCAGCTGGTCCGGAGATCTGACCCCAGGCAGCGTGGCTGGCTGTCGGCCGCGCCAGTACGGAAAGCCGAGGCCGGCCACCAAGAGATGAGAAAACTCCGAATCAGTTTTTCCAGGTTAGCTGGGTGTGCGCATGCGCGGTGGAAAAGCTTGTTTCATTCGGGCGCAACCCTCATATAAGCCGTTGAGCTCGGTTATTCGGGGCCCTCCGCACCGTGGACTCTGGGGTAGGTTGCTGCGGACGAGCCAAAAAGGGTGAGAGTCTGTGGCCTCCCTGGGTGGGCTTCATTTCCGTATTTTCAAATATCCGCACACTGAATTTTGCCTGGTGTAAAATGTGTGTAAAATCTGTGTCTAGGACAAGCAAGTAGCCCATTCAAGTCGAGCACTGTCTGATCAAGTAATATTTATCATATACAGTTGCAGTGAGCATGTTTTTCCGGTAAGAGACTACATGGTTGGATGCAGAGCATACCCACATCAGTTGAGCCTGTCTTTAGGCAACTCGAGGCAGCAGAAGGAGCGACTCGTGCCCATGCGACACCAGGGGCGAGTCCAGAGGGGTGGCCACGGGGTCATGCACCCCCCCCCCCCTTAGGCCCCCAGGAGCCGATAGGCTCCTTGGGGGCCTAAGGACGCCCCACAGCCGGCCGAGCATGTGCAGTCTTTTTTAACACAAGACGCAACAAAATTGAACATCCGTGGATTTCCAGGCGACCAAGAAGAGCTGTAGGGGAAAGTGAAGGCCCACGAGAGATAAAACATATTCGATGATTGAAAAAATTGTGAATGGAGAATTTTAAGCCTCATTACACTGTCTGGGCCCTATGCTGTTTCTGGGGGGCCTACATGCCCACTTGCAGGGCCCTTCCGATCGTCAAGGAGCTGTTATGCCCGATATCGCTCCAACTCATTATATGTTGTTCTTGGGACCTCTCTAGCTCGCTCGCCCCAATTATGCAGTTAAATTACAGGTGCAATATGATTATATGCACACAGTATCCACCGGGGTAGCAGCGGAGCTCATTGCCATTGAATCTCCAGTGGGGCTTGGTGGGAGGTCAGGACTGCGGCTTTCGCGGAGTGTCCTGAGCCGCCGACCGTAGATACGGCAGGGCACAAACCCTTTAACCTTTTCCAGCGGCTCAAAGGGAGAACGGGAGACGAACGAAACGCCTATCTTGTCAGTTGGGATCTAGGACCCGACT